CTTAAGGATTGTAAGAAGGACTCTAGTTCAAGCTCTAGATAAAATCTATATTAATATTATTAGACTAGTCACACCTCTAGACATCTATAGGAACCGCTACTTGTACCTACTAACTTGTGCAAAGACAAGGCATAGATAGGATAACGAGACCCTAGACCTAAAAAATAGTCCCGCTCTTATTAAGAAGTAGATAAGCTTATAGGCTAATCAATTTGGCAAAAGACCAAAGATCTAGTTCTTAGACAATAGGGGCTAGTTTAACAACAAGCACCTTTAAAAGGCTACTAAAATCAAGGGGTATAGGTGGGATTTCTTAAGCCCCTATACACCTAAACAAAATAGCATTATAGAGTTATTAAACAAGACTATCCTAGCAAAGGCTAGGGCTATACTCATTAATGCAGGTTTACTATAAGAGCTATAGAGCTATGCTATTAAGCACTCTATACACTTAACTAATAGGCTAGCTAACCTAACAACTAAGGAGGTTCCTCTAGTCTATCTTGAAAGGGATCTAAAGCAAGGGGGAACTCTAGTAGATCTGTCTAGGGTTAGGAGATTTAGTTGCAAGGTATACAAGCATATTAGCAAAGAAGAAAGGCTAAGAGGTGCAAAGTTTATGTTAAGAGCTCTAATCTACTAGAGCATTAGATTCTAGAGTAACTCCTCGACAAACTACCTCCTCTAGCGGCCTTAGTTTAACTATAGTAAAGGACTATAGCAGTATGAAATCAAATTCTCCTATTATATTACCTTTAATAAAGATTGGACCTACGGGGATAAAGGCAGAAAGGTGAATCTAGCCCCTCCCTATATTTAAGTTATTAAACACTCTTAGTTAGGAATTGACCCTAGTGAATCTAGAGTAGCTTCGGGATTCCTACCTGATATTAAGCAAGCCTAGAGCAGCTAGCAGGTAGTTAGTAGACCTGTTCCTTCTAGAAGTAGTAAAGAGCCGTTTTAAGCACCTTTAGGGGAGCTAGTACCTTCGGGGGAGCCAATACCTTTAGGGGAAACACCTCTTTAGGGGGAGCAGATTCTATTAGGTCTAGAGAATCTAGAAAGCCTAGTCGAAGAGACCCGGGAGCTATAGGCCCCTAAGAACTAATACTAGCCTAAGAATAATAAGGATAAGGATACGCCGATAATGTACTAACCAAACTAGTTAGCAGGTTAGAAAAGGCCGAGAGCCGCCTTACTACTAGCAGCTTAGGAAGTTGCAATTAGGCTAGTCGTATACTAGCCAAACTAGCTAGCAGGGTAGAAAAGGCTAAGAAGTGCCTTACTACTAGCAGCTCTAGGAGCTGTAACAAAGCTAAGGTACTTAGACCTTGTAGATACACCCCCTATAATATCCTCGAGGGGCAGGCAGACAAGGAGACCTAACTATAGCAATATAGCTAGGGTCCTAAATGCTGCTCTTAGGAGATTCCTAAAGAAGAAGGCTAAGAAGCTAGGGGAGGGTAAGCTATCTACACTTTATAAAGCACTAAATGGCATAGATGCTAAGCTTTAGAGGGAAGCTATTACTAAAGAACTCAGGTCCTTAGACAAAATAGGCACCCTTAAATAGATCTCTACTAAAGAACTTCTAAAAGGCAGAAAACCAATATTAAGCAAATAGGTCTAGAAGATTAAGCGCTTGCCTAATAGTTCTACTAAGAAGTTTAAGGCGAGATGTATAGCTAAGGGGTTTACCTAGAGGAAAGGTGTTGACTTTAAAGAAACCTTTGCTCCAACCCTAAGAGCTATAATAAGCAGGTTCTGCTTAGGACTTTTAGCTACTTTTGGCTAGGTTAGATGTTAAGTAGATATTGAGGCTGCATTTCTAGAACTAGACATTAATAGACCTAACTATATAAACGCACCTAAGGGGTTACATTTGATTAGAAAAGACCTAGAGGAATTTCTATATATAATTGTGCAGAAAGGCTTATATAGCATAAAGCAGTTAGCTGCTTTATAGTACTACGATGCTAAAGCTATACTTAAGACCCTTAGTTTGTATAAAACTAAGAGCGATGCCTGCCTCTTTATCGGAGAAGGGATTATAGTTATCCTTTATATTAATGACTTTCAGATCTTTAGCAAGACTTAAGCTAGGATTAATAAGCTAATCGAAGGACTTAGGAAAACCTATACTATTAAGGTTGTCTAGACAAACCTCTTCCTAGGACTGTATATCATTAAAGATAGTATAAGTCTTAGAATCTCCTAGAAGCACTACTCTCTAGAGAAGCTAAGAAAGTATGGTCTTGACTAATATAAGGATATAAAGTACCTACTTAAGAAACTCCTAACTGCTTTCGAGCTAGACTGTAAGAAGGAGAACTATAAACTCTTCAATTAGATAATTAAGGAGCTGCAGTATCTTTCTAACTAGACAAGACCTAATATTACTTATGCTGTTAACTACCTAGCTAGATTCCTACAAAACCCTAGACTAGAGTATATTACAGTAGCAAGACATGTTTAGAAATATGTTGTAGGAATAGTTAATAAGTCCCTAGTATTTAAGAAGAGCAAGTCTAGCAAGGTTAATATTAAGAGCTACCTTAAGGTCTACTTAGATTCTAACTTTGCTAGTAACCTAAAGACCTCGAGGTCTATATTAGGATTCCTGCTCCTTATAGCAGGAGGACTAGTTCTCTAGAGATCCTAGCTTTAGAAAGAAGTTGTCCACTCTAGTACTAAAGCTAAGTATATAGTACTAACTAAAGCTATAAGGGAGCTGAAGTGGCTAAGGAACCTCTCTAAGGAAATTAGCAGCTTTACTAGGTTCAAGTTTGACTATATCAAAATCAACTGCGATAACTAGTTAACTATCTACCTTATAAAGAATTATACTAACTCTAGCAGATTAAGGCATGTTTCTCTAAGGAACTATTACTATAGGGAATAGTATAACAAAGGGAGGATTGATGTTTAGTACATTCCTACTAATCTCTAAATAGTAGACTAGCTTACTAAGCCTAAGTTAAACAACCCTATCCTCTAGGATCTAGACTAGTAAAGGACAAACTCTAAAGTTACTTATTTTATTCTTATTTGTTACTAGAACAGGAAGTTAAACTTAATACACTTATTTTTATTTTATTACTCTCTATAGACTAACTACTCTTCTAGTTCTCTACCGGGGCATCTCGGTATCTAGAGCAATCTTTTAGCTCTTAGTACAATATCTTAAAGCAGAAACAAACATCGAAACTAGATTGGCCTAATCTGTAAGGACTAGAATCTCCCTAATACTGCAAATCTCAAATTATATATTAGAAGTTTTGTCTAAAGGATCTCCAACCTTCTAAGAATACTCCTATCCCTTTAAGGACTGCCTATTTCCTCGTTAGAATCACCCTTTTCTTTATCCTAACGATTAGATAGCCTACTCTAAGAAGAGTAACGATCGGATAGTCCACTCTAAGAGGAGCTAGACGGGGCTAGTATAGCCGATCTAGAAGAAAGCCGAGAGTTTAGATTGCGACTACGACTAGCTATCGTAGTAGCAGCGTAGACTCCCGCCTACTAAGCTAATGCATTCGTAATCGCCTAAGCGCCTTCCGGAGTGTTTTAATTGATCCTAGAAGGAATCGGGATATATAGGCGACGCTAATTACTGCCTACTATGCTACCTAGGTTACGAGGCGGCAGCCTAATAGGACCTAGAAGACCTACCTAGCGGTTGGTGCTCGAACGAGGGCGCGATACATAGCCTGCAACCTAGTTAGTTTTCCCTAATTGAGGTCTTAAGTTAAACCTAACTTACTCGACTTATTATAATAACTATAATAGTTCGGGCTAGCACAATTAGTATAGGTACCCTTAAGGAACTTGCTCCTATTAACGGTTAGAGTAATACACTCCTTGTATATACCCTTACCCTCCTAATAGGGCTTATACCTATTACTTCCCTAATAAACAGTGCGACTAGAAGTAGCATATACGAGTGCAGCCGGAAGATAGTTAACGTTAGATCTAGAGGCTAGGTTAAACTTCTTGTCCGCCCTACGTATTATAGCTGCGATAGTTAGGTATAAGGGAGAGTTGCTGCCCTTTTGCTTAAGGGTGCGTACGAAGATAACAACGTCGGTATTGCGTAGCTGTAGAGGCATTTCGTTAAACTTCGAGTTGGCTAGAGCGGTTAGGATCTTCTATAGGAGCGCGACGGTAATCTTAATCTCCTTTAAGACTGCTCTCTATTAGTATAGGAAGGCGCATCTAATTAGCAAAAGCCTTACTATTGTTAATTAGCTACTGCTTATTATAGCGACTAGGCAACTTCTTATTCGGATTATCTCCTCCGCTACTACTACCTATACTAGTAGCTAGGCTACCTAGACTAGGCTAAGTTGCTATAGCTATAATAGTACCTCTAATTAGAATTAGGTTGAGTTAAGCTATGTTAGAAAGTGTTAGTTATATATTAGTTAGTAGAAAGAAGAAGTTCAAGTTTAAATAAGAAAGCGCACTTCTTAAATATAGACTGCTAGGCTTAGGGTCTAAGTAGCAAGCGTACGGCAAGTACGACTTTACCTTTACCTTAATATATATAAAAGGACTAGACTAATTAGCGAGCTAGGAGAAGCAACCCTATGTTACTTAGATCGTTATATGTAGGTTACTTGTATCTAATAAGTTACAAGGTAGTTACACTTTAACTAACAACGCGTATAGTAGCTAAGTAAGGGAAAATAGCCTTTTATTCTAATAGATTCTACCTAAGGGGGAGTGTTATAGATCAGTTAGCACTACTAAGTGCTAAGAGCTAATTTCCTAGTAATATATGTAGCATCTAGCGCAGACAGAACTTGATCCCTTCTTCTCTATGCAATTCTATAGTTAATTAATTAATAACTTGTTCTGCTTAGCTCAATTACAATATCTTTAGCTATAGAGGAAAGCACAGATTGCAAAGTGGTTCCGGACCGGCCTCCTAATATACAGGCAACACTCTCTAAGGACGAGAGGTCTAAAGACTTAAACCGGACTAACTATTAGAAGAGGCAAATATCGAAACCGCTACCCGGGAAGACACAGAGGAGCTAAACGAATATTTCGATACCGGTTGCAGTGCTAATCGAGAAATTTTACGGCAAGAGACGGGCAACTGCGAGGACGTATAAAGCAAGAAGACGTTCGTCTCCCCCGCCGGCGCCAGAGTTGCATCGATCCCCGAGCTCCTCGAGAAGATCCTCCTCCACTTAGACCCCAACACAGTCCAAGGAGTCACTACACTCCTTCTCTCCCAACGCGTCAGCAAAACCTTCCGCGACACAATCGCCGGCACACCATCTCTGCAACGCGCCCTACGCTTCGGCTCCGCCCTTCCACGCATCTCCTCTGAGAAACCCAAGCTCAGCCCCCTCTTCCTAGAAGCCATGCATTTCGCGATTGTTGATGAGTTTGCAAGCATGCTGAGCGTGGATGTAGATTTCAAGAAGGCGGAGGAGGGGGTGGATGGGATTACAGGGATTCAAGTTCTTCTTCATCGGACGGGGAAGAAGTGGGTGGGGAAGAAGACGCCTCGGCATCATTCTTGGAGGAAGATGCGGTTGTTTGAGGAGAGGGGGATGGTTGTAAGCGAGATCGTGAGTCGTGGAAAGGTTTTTCGGAAGGTGAGGGTGGAGCTGGAGAATCCTAGGATTGGGGAGGTGTTTGATTTGGTCTATGGGGGTTGATTGAGAGGAAGAGAGAGAGAGAGAGGTTGGAATTTGTGCTGTTATGAGAGGAATGGAAGTTTGCCCTCTATAGGGTATCGTAAGTCTTAGATAATAGAGGATGGGATACTTCTTTTTGATAAGGAAGGCACAAGCGATGGAACTATGGGGAATTCTGTTGTTGAAATTAGATGAGAATCAGACTCGTGCATCCATCCGGGCAGGCATGGCTTTCACATGCAAAAATCAGGTCTTGGCATTCTACGGCCGGCTGTCCACCTTCCTACTTTTCCTGTACTTCCTTATCGCATTACATACACCCCTCTACACAGAACTAATGCCCTACCAAACCTCTATGACTAATACGCCGCTATTACTACGTAAATTAAACTCTCCCTAAAATCCCCTTTCCTATACCGCCCGCCCTAATACTAAACATCCCTATCCCCAAAACTAATGTGTGTTCGTAGGGAGTAGAAGAAGAGATGGGGTACCAGGTATAATCTTGTAGGTAGACTTAAGCTGCCTGCGTACATGTGGTTAAGCATGTATATACATGAACCTCCCTCCCTTCCTAAGCTCTGCCTACCTAGACCATTACGGGTGTAAACAACTGTACAGTGTACACCACAAAAATTAACTTCTACATGCAAAGCCCTGTAAGATAAGATACCATTCAAGCATCTCCATCTCCCTTCGTCGACGCAGGTTTACTGCTCGTAGGGATAGCCGAGTTCGCCAAAGGCGCATGTAAGATAGGTTTCTTGCCATTAGCTCGATAATGAAGAACGACATCTTGACCTCCTCGCCACATGTGCGTTCGCATGCTAGCCAAAGTCATCGTAGGCGGGATGATCTATGAAAAAAAAAGGAAAACCTCAGCATGTAGTAAATTTCTTTTTGGAAAGTGGGTTGTAACAGACATACCTGATCCTGACACCACAACTCCAAATACTCTTCAGCCTTTGGCCTCTCTTCACCGTCTTTCGGCGCAGGCTCGATTCTTTCCGCAACGTATGCCAAAATCTTCTTAGCGCGGAGCATTCTGTTGGCGTTTAAGCGGTTATTGCCATCGGTGGCGATGGCTGGCAGAGTAGGCTGTCCACTTGCAGGATCGATCCATGGTTCGAGGATAAAGCTGATCTTAACAACATCTTTGACAGGGATCTGGTTGCGCAAAAGGACTTCGCCGAGCCACATCGGTGCTGTCTTCTCCACCAGGTCAGTCATCTCTCCAAGGCCGCCGACCGTGCCTTCGAAGAGATCCGCAACTCCACCAGCCTCAGGCCGATCTTCCTGGATTAATATTATCGTGTTCGGCGGTGGTCTGAGCACAGGTGTCTCGTTGGGAGGACTAGGCTGAATGGCACTTGGAAGCTCGATCTCGGCTTTCGGTACCGGCAGACCGTTTTCATGAGCCTGCTGCTGCTGAATCTGGCTTTGCAAACTGTCTTCATAGCCGAAGCGGATCTTCTGCACGGTTCCAAGTAGATTGTCATCCACGACTCTACTGTTAGATGTCTTCGAGGAATGCGTATCTGATCGATCGGCCTCATTCTCCTTCTCCTCCACAGGCGCTGGCTTGTCGGTGGTATTCGTCGTCGTTCTCCCGATCTTACTCATCCCTGCGAACGACATGTTCATCTTGAACTTCTTGCCGAAGAGACCACCACCTTTGCCCGGCGTCGCGGCTTCCTTTCCGGGTGGTGGGTTCTCTCCTGATGGTGTGTGAGGTTCCTGGCCTTCGCCTGGTGTCACTGCACGTTGTGATGTACCACCAGGTGTGGTCAGATCTGTGTTTGGTACACGCGACGTCGAGAAGTAGTCCATTGATCGATCAGTGGACTTGCGCTGCGATTGCGACGAGACTCGATGCTCCAGTTCCGCGCCCTCCTCCGCCGTAGGAGGTAGCTGAGGCGTCGCTCTTGTCGTTGTTGGGGACCCTGTGATCGCCGGAGTCGCGAGACCAATGTTAAAACCGGGTGTGGTGGGCGGTCGCGTACCATTCGTGCTAGGACGTACAGTCGATGCGGATTGAGTGCCATTCGTGTCGGCGTGCCAACCATTGAGGTTGGGTTGTGGCAAATCTATGCTTGTCGGCGCGTTCTCACGCTGCAATCGTTGCTGCTCTTTGTTGGCGAGCAACTGATTCCGGAATACTTCGTCTCTTTTGATTTCTTCCGCGACCAGGTTGTCGAATAGATACCTCAGGACCCACTTGCCCAGGTTGATGCGTTGATCCTCTCGATAGTCCACGCCTTCTTCAAGATCCAACTCGTCGGCGTACATTTCCGCGTCGAAGCAGGTATTCTCCTCCAAGATTACAGCAACGCTACCCGTCCGCGTATCCACAGTGCACCAATTGGCGACTACAGCGGTTGTGGTGACTTCATTCTGGACATCTTCTAGATGTCGCTTGCCGTATGATCGTATTGGGACACACTTCAGCAGGTCCCACATCAACACCTCGCCGGCAGTGTCCTTGGTCAATAATCGCTTCCTGTCGCTCAACATGACGTGCTTGATGAGACCATTCTGGCCTTCGATTGAATATTCTGGCTGTGATCGAATTGGTAGTGGCATGATGCCTTCCGGCGGACTCTCCAGTGTTGCTCGTCTTTGCGGTGGAGAGCCTTCTGGCTCGGGAGGAGGGATGATTAGTGTTGGGAAATGAACGGTATTGCTAAGTCGGAGTACATGCTTGAGCGGAATCTTTCGCCTGCCCGTAGATGGCCGCCGGTGTGGCGTCGCCATTGGCGGGCTTGGTGCTCTCGCGCGTGCTGTGGCCGAGCTCAGCCTGTGATGTGTGGTGTAGCCCTCTGGAATGTCAATTTCTGCATTCGTGGTGTTAATATCGCGCCATCGGTTTATGCTCGGTCTGCTCGTGGCTGTCCACAGGCAATCGCCCCCAACAACGACCTTGTGTACGGCTTCATGTTCTTGGAAGAGTGCGACCGACAGGCCTTCATCGAGCTCGATGGTGTTTCGCGTATCGGTCTTGGCTATCAGGCCGTTCTTGTCGCTGGAGTAGAAGACGGACATATCAGGATCATCGGAGAACAGCGACCACACACTGGCATCGTGCATAGTCAATGTGAACATGCATCGACCGGCGATGGTGCTCCAGACTTTGACCGTCCTGTCACTGCTCGCAGTCATGATGGTGGTGCCGTCCTCGCTGACGAGGATGTCTCTGATGTTGTCTGTATGCCCGACCAGCTTCGTCACTCGCTTGCCTGTCCGGCAGTCCCACACCCTCACCGTGCTCTCCGGCCCTCCACTTGCCAACAACGAGTTTGTCGCCGCCAGCGCATAGACACTGCCCTTCTCTTTGCTGAGCAGGCTGCTGACCTCATCTTCGGCCACATTGATTTTGAGCTTTTGCCCTGCCCCATTCAGGTCCCAGACATTGATATAGCGATCTAGGCCACCACTGGCCACCCAGTCGCGCGTTGAGTATGGCACGGCCAGCGTCTTCACGTAGTCGCTGTGCAAGCCTATGGTCTGCGGCGGCAGGCCGTCTGACGCGAAAGGCCTCCATAGCTTCACAGTAACGTCCGACGAGGCGGATATCAGCGCTTGGTTGTTCTGGGCAAGCACGATGTCGTTGATCCAGTGCGTATGCGCTTGCACCTGCGCTCGAAGGGTCGATGCGGGCGACTCTGGTAGTTTCGCATCGTGTTCGGGCGGCGTGGCGTTCTGGAGATCGAGGTGTGTATCCCAGGCACATATCATTCCGTCCCTGCCACCGGAATAGAGCAGCGAATGGGTCGGGTCGACTGCGAGGCCATTGACGCCGAGCCGATGTCCTCCGGCCGAGTTGGCGAGCGGGAGCACTGTGAGAGCGAGGTGTTGTCAGTCTCTGGCCTGCGTATGTGCGCACGACATGCGTATGCGTATGCCTCCGGGCGGCCATAGCGTCGTCGGGAGCATGCACTCACCATAACTGATTCTCTGTCGCGCCTTGCGAGCCATCAGGCTCTACTCATGCGATTGGGACGAGAAGGGCGAGCAGTTCTAAGGCAACGTTATGCTGTGTCGGCGTAGCTTCACTGCCGGAGCCTATCGCGCGGCTATCATCTTGCGCGTTGCGAAGAGGCTGTGCCAACGGGATGTCTTGCGGGTGTATGATATGCCGTAGCAGCCTAGACCTTGCAGCAGGCACAGCATATCAGGCTATAACAGGCTACAGGCGACTACTGATGCCATCACCTCCGTCTGCTCTGCGAATGGCACTTCTTCCGGAGTGGAGTTCACTTCGCGCTGCGGCCATGACACGCGCCAAGACCAGGCCCGGCGGCGGAGTGCACATTCAACTCCGCTCCTCACAACAACGACATCATACAATACCCGACACACTACACTTCGACCTCACCCTTCTACATTGAGTACTGTAGGGAGCTAGTCATCGCCGCAATGCTTCTGCTCAGCCACCAGCATATACCGTACAGTATATGCTCGTGAACATCGCCGGTCAAGTCTGGCAGAGCCTGAACTCCGGCGCTGCACTCCGGAACACGCGATATCACACAGTACCCAAGCAGTCACACGAGCTTCGGGGCCTTTCATGCGAAATGGCAGAGGCTTATATAGCTCCATGCGCCAGTAACGCAACCGCGCCCTACGCGAGACGCTCCAATTCCGTACTTGAGGCTGAATGCCAAGACATCAGGCCATCATGCCTACAACTACTGACAAGAAACAGAACATATCAGGCTGTCACTGGCATGTTCTGAGGCACTCATTACCGTGACTTTGCCAACTGCAACTGCCACCATCCCGAACTAACAGGCTATGGATTGATGCACTATGCATAAACCAACATGACATCAGCGAACGAAACGCACAGGTCCGGACTATGGGTACCATCTATAGTCTTGCGTGGGATGTCTTTATCTGGCTTGGTGATGTCGAGAACTCATCCATACAAGATCGCTCTCAGCTGAGCGGCCGGGAGCTCAGATTGTCCCTTGCGACCTTGTTAGATCAAGTCACATCCACTGCTGTGCCATCGTGGTGGACTAGGGCTTGGGTACTGCAAGAATTCTTGATGGCTCGACAAGATCCTGTCGTTTACTTCGGGGATCATGAAATGCGCTGGACGGAGATGGTGGGTCTTGGTGAGAAAGTCGACGAAGACAGATCGCTGTCATGGAAAGGCATTCGCGAAGGGCATAAAGATGAAGATCGCCCACTTGAGCGAGTCAGTGCGCCTTTCTTCGCAATCCATAGCACCAAGTACATGGCGAATAACGGAGACCTGGCATCATTCGGCTGGGCATGGGCGCAGACACAATCAAGCGATCCCAGAGACAAGGTGTATGCATTGCTAGGGCTTTTGGATGAGCGAGAGAGCGACTTGGTCACTAAGGACTACAATATTGGCCTGGACACACTCTACATAGAAGCAACCTATGCGGCGATTGCGGCCAATCAAAACCTTCACATCTTACAATTCGTCAAAAGTGCGAGGAGCGACCTCGCTCTTCCTTCATGGGCCGTCGACTTCAGCTACTCGTACAAGACAGAGGAAAGGTCCTGGTTCGCTAGCTCAGATGTGAGCAAGTACCTCTTCGTTGAACCTCCTAAGCCCTGGTGCACGGCGTATCCTCAATCAGCAGCGCAAGTATCGCTCGACCTCCAAAGTTGCACTCTCACTCTCAGAGGTCTCGAATTCGACACCATCCTCCATACCTTCGAGACTGACAAAGGAGACTATTTCGAAGAATTCGGCCAGGGAATAATGGACTTCGCAAAATCTCCCCTCAGCCTATTCGGAAATCGTCCAATCCTGTTGACACCAGGCGAACAAAAAGTCTATGGGGATTGGACATAAGGACTTGAGGAAAGGGGATTTTGTGTGTTTGCTTTTTGGGGGGAGGTGGCCTGTGGTTTTGAGACCGCAAGAGGGAGAGGGAGAGGGGAAGTTTGGGTTTTTGGGGTTTGCGTTTGTTAATGGGGTTTGTGGGGGGAGGGGATGGGGAAGTTGATGGGGGATGGGATGGGAACGGGGTTTAGGGAGAGGGGGTTTGGGATTGTGTGAGAGGGTATTTTGTTGTATGTATATGGGTTTGGCATGGGAGGCTGAGTTTATCCGTGATACTGAAATGTAGGATTGAGCTGCTGCTCTCAGAACAAGCTGCGCCAAGACCTTTGGCGGCCGGCTAGTCTTAGCGTACAGGGCCCGTGCTAAGGGCTTCCTATTATGGCTAGCGCATAAGTCCTTAGCTCCGTGGCTCTGACTTCTAAGACTAGCGGCTAGCCACTTCTTTTACTTAATTATCTCTCTAAGTCTTAATAAAACATCCTTTAACCTTTCTAGACCTCGACGATAACTATATTATAGGAACTTTAAAGTACTAGTATTAATATGTCTTTGCTATTAGCCCTACTCTTAGTATACCTTAGACCGGATTAGGGTAGTATAGCCTCTATTAGCCGCAAATAGCCCCTATCTACTCTATTATTAGAGCGGCCTTAAAGTCTTAATTACCTATAGACGGAGCTATACTATATATCTATAGAGATTCGAGGCCTATAGTATAGTTAGAAGCCTTATAGCTTTATATAAAGCTATATATCCGCGAGCGCCTAGGAACGTCCTCTATTCGCTAGTAATAATACTATCTAGGACGTAATACGGTTAGAATACGTCCCTTTATTTATATACTTAAAACGAAGTATTTAGGCTAGAGATTATTTTTAGTCCTCGTCTTATAAGTAGATAATACTCTAGGGAAAGTACGGCGTAATAAAGACTATTCGGAGGAAAAAAGACTAATATTAAGTATTATAAAAGCTCGTTCCCGACTTCTAGAGAATATTAAGTATATTTTCTACTAGTAGAATGCTATTGCTCTTATTATACTAGGTGCTTCTATGTCTTAGCCGGGTAGAAGCTAGCAATATTCTCTCGTCCTCTTATCTTAGGAATCTTACTTACAATTCGATAACTATTAGCTTAACTTCTATAAGCAGGTCTAGTCTATCTTCTTCCGGCGACATATAAAGCAGTTATGTTAGTACGAACCCGTCAATCTTAAGTGCGATAGACCTACTATCTTCTCTAGATAGAGACTCCGGTAGCCGCGGGATAGCTTTATATATTATACCTACCTCCTTCTTAGGCTCTTCTTATAGACTTTATCCTATCTTCTACCTTCTACCTTCTACCTTCTACCTTCTACCTTCTACCTTCTACCTTCCTTTACCTAACCTACGTATAATTAGCGTCGATCGGTTCTCGGCTCTTCTATATATAGTCTAGTGTATAGAAGAAGTCTTCGTAGAAGAGCCTAAGGACAAATGTCGCAAAGCTGTAGTATTAACCTTATATACCTACAAAACAGGTGGAATAGTATAACAACTATATATCCTAAGCAAAAGTCATAGTAGAATCGCACCTAGATATTAACGTAATGAAAATTATTGTCTATATAATAATCTATATATTTCTAAAGACGTAGGAATGAAAATTACAAAACACTACTTTAAGACAAACGCTATAAGAATAGCGTCCGGATTGCCTCTACTACGACACAACTACTACCGTTTACTATAAACGGAAATACGGGCGGACCCTTAGAATTAGCCGCTCTCTAACCTCTAAGTGTTTGCTAGACGTGAATATATCGCGTTATTAAGTCCTAAAGCCGATCGGGTAAATTAGGCTAAAACGCGGCTGTTCTAGGCCTATACGCTTTACTAAGCACGCGCAACTTAGCGTACACTTATCTAAATAGCGGGCTGCCGCCCTTCTTCTTCTTCTTCTTCCTCTTGCTCTTAGCTTCTTCCGCCTCGTATCTACTACTCGCATTTACTACTCGCATCTACTACTCGTATCTACTACTCGTATCTACTACTCGTATCTACTACTCGTATCTACCGCTAATATATCCGACGTCGACCTACTAGACTCCGACCTACTAGACCTACTAAGTGCGCTTTCTAGCCTGCTACTAAATCTATACCCGAATAAGTTGTCTAAGCTATTGTCTAAATTAAACCTAGATTCCGAGGCAGATGCTAGTATGCAAGCTACGCTTAATATAGACTAGCAACGTATCGAGGCAGAGCGCTAGATAGCTGCTAATAAGGAGGCCGCTATCGACGAAGAGGCTGCTATCGACGAAGAGGCACGTAGAGAGGCTCTATTCTAGGCGGTCGCTAATAAGGATATATATAAGGCGGAAACATATAAGTAGGAGGATCTTAGCGATAATAATATTGTACTAGAAGAGGCGGAGGAGGCTTCTATCGAAGAAAACGAGGCTATCGATCTATTTAGCGATATTAAGGAGGATAATCGTAATAAACTCGCGGATAAGGAAAATGCGGAAGATGCTAGCGTAGCTGTAGCACTACGCCGCTAGACTCGATAGCAGACTCGACTCGCCGCCGCCGCCGCCGCCGCCGCCGCCGCCGCCGCCGCCGCCGCCGCCGCTACTAGCCCTTAGCGACGTATTTAATAGAATAGGACTACTCGAGGCACTTAACGCGTTCGTAGTTAGCGTCGTACCCGCGAGCAGAAGTACGTTAATATCTTCGGAGAGATAAAGCGTACTAGGCTCCCGCCTAAGTAGTAGATAATAATCTTTAATAATAATAGTTATAGCGAGAAGCTAAATAGGACTTATCGCAACTATATCCGCTAGTCTATAGCTGCCCTTAAATATAAGTATATCGTCTTAGCTCGAGTTATTCGTAACGAACTTAAGAAGCTTGTTAGTAAGCCATTCTTTAACTAGTATAAACCGGAAGATTCGATAAAGGAGGTTAACCTATAGGAGATATATAGTATTATCGAAGACACTACACTAACCTAGGTAGATCTTCTACGTAAGCTGCTTCCGAATAAGAAGATCCTACTCGATAAGACTACGAACGAGTCGCCTCCGTATAAGTAGGACCGCCTCCGCAAGCGCATTGCAGTAATAATATAGATAGCTATTCGCTCGATCTCCTTAAAGAAGGCTTCTATATTCGGCAAGTAATTCGGCCTATACCTAGTTACTAGTAGTGTACTATACTATATAATTAGTATTATTAATAATATAGGCCTGTCTAGTGCCGCTCGCACGATTTAGGTACTAATACGGAAAACAGAGGCCGTTTAGGACTAGCGTATAATCGTAATAGCTCGAGATAAGCGGAGTTTCTCGGTATACGATAACCTAGTTAAGCAGAAGAATCGCAAGGGCGTCTAGAAGCAGGGTAACCGTACGGAGATACTAAATATAACTACCTCCTATATCGGCATTAACGAGCGTATTCTAGTAGAAGGTTTGACTAAGGATATAATTAATTTGAACTCGGAGCTTAGCTATAAACACATCCTAGGAAATCTTGCTAAGGACGCGAAGTATAGAACCCGTAAGCACCTCTCGTTATACTATATCGACTAGGTATTAGGTGTCGTATTTAGACTAGAGCTAAAGGGTATGTTCGAGGGTTACGATTTCGAGATACGATATTAGTCGACTATTATAGAGAGTCTCGATATAGCACTCGGAATTAGTACTAAGTATCTCCGTCCGGGCACTAAAACCGAACACTTTGCATAGCTAATAATCGATATTATAGATCCGGAAGAAGCTACTAATCTCGTCCCGATAAAGCTATCGATAAACGATAAGGTATCGATTGCTAGATCTAAGGAGGTTCTAAAGGATATCTTCCTCGATAATATATAGCTAGATAAGGATAAGGACTTCGGATATTAGCTACAACCTAGTAACTCTACTAAACAGATTGCCGCGCGCGATAAGAAGAGTCGGCTATATCTAATCGTCGGAGACTAGATAACTTATGCCCGTTTTAATAGCTATTAAGCGGAAGGCGTCGAGTCGGAGCGCCTATATAATCGATACGACTAGGGCGTTATCGTGCCTAGCTAGCTATATATCTATATAAATAAAGCGTACGGCATCGTTAAGACCTACTTCGATAAGAATTCCGATAAAGTATAGCTTGCCTATTCCTTAGTCGGCGATGCCTTGTTCTATACGATAAAAGGCATTAGTAAAGAGAACCCGAAATACTTCCTCGTCCTAAACTTGCTATATCGCATATTCCGTAGCCGTATTACTGCCTGCTTCTAGTATAAGATAGACTTGCAGGGTTTGTTAGACTATATAGTCGATAAATCGAAGAGCCGGATCGAGGTACTAAAGGCTGCTATCGCGAATCTCGAGCCGGAGTAGTATCTATAAATAGTCGAGAATATCTAGAATAAGGCGTTTACTAAGGAGGCATAGTAGAACAAGTATACCTAGGACGAGGTTGTTCTATAAGATACTAATTATACTACTATATACCGCTTGCTTATATAGATCGAGGAGCTAATAACGATGCGTACCGCTATCCGGAAAATAGATATCGGTTACTTAAAGCGTATAGTAGACTACCTCATCGTTCTATTCCTTAGAACCAATTAGACTAACTACGCGAAGTATATACTAGAATTCCGCTAGTTACTAGAATAGGATTAGCCGTTACGTCGAGCATTAATAGCTATCTCTATCGTAAATCCCTTAGGTAAGGAAGGCAAAGGCATCGCTATAGATAAGGAGATTAAGCTTATTAATAACGACCTAACTCTAGATCTAAACTACTTTAGTAACTCAACCTATAATATAGCCGCTGTCGCTCGTAAGAAGGCCGGTAATCGCCGCGTAGCTCGAGTATTAAAGAAGATATTTATATCCGCGATCGGTATCGAAGGTACTAACTATTATACTAATAAGAACGCCGTAACCGATATACTAAGTATAGCCGACAAGCTGTTCCGAGATAGCCTTACAGAGCGATAGCTAGTTAGTAAGGATTCTCCCGAGG